AACAGTTAAACCATACCTGAAAAACATAGGCTTTGCAATCATGGAAACTTCCATTTGTAGTTAGTACCTGTTTGCAGGGGAATTAAATATTGGCAAATGTCATATTGAAGAACAGATATTTGGGACTTGCTGTAGTCCTAGACATCTGTGTTTACTAATCCTTTTGATACTCATGATTAGGTACATTTTGACCAGTGTCCAGATTCCATTTTGCATTGGCATGGAATGTAGAATACATAAGATCCTTAGTAGGGGGCAGCATCAGCACCATGCGAGAGTATATATTACTGGCTTGTTTTCTTCGTTAACGTGTCTTGATGAATTCTAAGATGTTGTGGTGTTTGTCTTGCTAGTGGATAAATATTTTTGTAAGGCTTTAGAATTTTTAAGTTATTTTATGGCTACCATCATCTAACAAACTCTTGCAATCTAGTTTACAAATGAAGGTGAAGGTTTCTTTGAGATTTTTAGTATTTTATTGAGTTTGAATAAACCACCTAGAGAATTTTCCATAGAAAAACATTACAGTGTGGGAAGTTTTGAATTATTATTTCACTGTATTGTAACACTGAAATGTTAAGAAAATCTATTTATACCTTAAATCAAAATTTGTTGTAACTGTTAATAGATTTACAATTGCATTAAATTATTAGACTAAAATGACCCTGGATTCACAGATTTGGGTGAAACGTGGCTATACTATGTTTTAGCTGAGTAAACTTGGGAAACTATTTAATCCCCCTGAGTTTTTCCTCTTTAAAAAGGGAATAGTAATGTATGTACATACATCATACTGTGATGATCAGAGTAACTCTTGTAAAGCATTTAGCACAGTGCTAATGACACTGATGGCTAGGTATTAACAGTTACTTCTCCCCAGCCTCCATGGTGGACTGCTCTATTTACTTAACTCTTGCCAGTGTTTGGGAATTTCAGGAGGCCTCTATCTTTGAGAGTTAAAGAATTAAATTAGTGTAGTCTCTTCTGCTACAATACATGCTTTTTAAAAATTGACTTAGCTAATCTGCAGTTGGTAAACAGGAAAATGTCCGTATGGTGTGGTAGTTGGGTCAGTTCAGTTGAGACTTTTCCCCAGCAATCAGGGAAGCAAGTATTCTCACAAATACAGAGGGGTTAAGGGGGGGAAAAGATGGAAATTCTATAGAAGTGCTTTCCTGTAGTGCAAGTAGTGACTTATATACTGGCCTTGAAATCTGTGGCACTTTGCATTGTTAAAACTATGTGAGGAAGCTTAAGAGTTATAGATGAAGGGGCTATAACATTATTTCCTGCAGTGTTTAAAAAATCCTGCACCTTGATTCTATTTTAATTTTGTTGAAACTGTACACAATGACCTGTGTCTCAGTGGAAGAAGTATGAGTCCAAGGTTTAAGGAGATAAAGGATTGACTGACCTTTGTGCTTGGTGTAAATGTCAGTGGAGATTTAACTGTGCTAGCGTATTTATTATGATTCCTCCCCCCACCCCCACCACGAAGTTCCACACGTTTTCAAAGTTTTGTCCTATTTCTACATAAACCCTGTTACTTTTATTGTGTAATTTTGAAGAATGTGCTTTTCAACAATGTGATAGATGTTAAAAATATAAGCCTATAACAATTATGAAGTGTAAGCAGGTGTTGACTGAAACAAGGTAGAACAATAATTCTCAACCGTGGGTGGGGACATTAGCCAATATCTGTAGACATTTTTGGTTATTACAAGTGGTGGAAGGAGTGGAGAGGAAGGGGCTGCTGGCATCTAATGAGTAGAGGCCAGGGATGTTGCTGAACATCTAGTCATACACAGGACATTCCCTCACAACGAAGAGGTACTTAACCTGTAGTGTCACTGGTACTGAGTTCGAGAAACTGTTACAAGGGTTCTGGGACATAGTAAGCACTAAATAAATGTTAGTTAATATGTACGTAATGATGAAAATTAAAATTTCAAATGCAAATTATTGTATGATGTAGTCTGTTTCTGTGCTTTTAATTGTGTTTGTCTAAGTACAGCATTGTTTGATTACTCTTGCTGTGTTATAATCCCATCGAGTTTTAAACAGTCCTTTATTCTTTTCATAATAAGAATGTTCTTTGATTTGTAGAGACTAATATTAAAATCATTTTATTGGCTTCCAAAACTAAATTCTGTTAAATTTAACTTGTTGAAGTATTTGTACAAAAATGATATCCTTGAGACTCTTAATCTTGCTTACTTTTTATTTGCTCGAGTTACCTTCTTAGAAAGTTTTAAAATTTCCTTGTATAAATATACCTCTGATTTTATTTCTTAGTGGTGTACATGTTTGTTTCCACAATAAATGTGATTTTTGACATTGTATTTTCTTTTTTAATACTCATTTTTATAATGCTTTTCTAGTAGCTTATTTTTTTAATTTGTTTTTATTGAGACATAATTGACATAACATTGTGTAAGTTTAAGAGCTACAACATGTTGATCCTAATATATTTGTTTACTGCAGTATGATTATCACCATATGTGTTAACACCTTTATAATGTCACATAATTATCTTATCCTTTATGTTGTGGAAACAATTAAGATGTATTTTCTTCTCAACTTTGAAATTTATAATACAGTATTGTTGTCTCTAATCACTGTGCTGTGCATTCAATCTCCAGGACTTGGCTACTAGTTGGAAGATTGTACCCCTTAAACAACATCTCCAGAATTCCCCCACCTTCCAGCCCTTGGTAGCCATCATTCTACTCTCTGTATTCATGAGTTTGGCTTTTTTAGATTACACATACAAGTGATATCATATGGTATTTGTCTCTAGTGACTTACTATTCCTTTGATTCATACCTTAAACATTGTCTAGAACTTTTAGAACAATATTAAATAAAAATGAAGAAAAGTGGCATCCTTCTTTGTTCCTGAATTAAATACAACATAAAAGTTATAATACTCTCATGGTTGGTGCAAAGAACATGGATTGTATTTACGGCAAAGAAATATTTCTAATTGTCCAAGTAAGGGCCTTTAGAATGAGTTTCATACAGCCTTAGTTTTTCAGTCTTTGAACAACCTTATGTGCATTCAGGGAATATATTTGAAGTAGAAGGACTTTGTCCATATTTTCTAGAAATCTTAAAATATAACTGGAGGGTTAGGCATAATGATTAAAATCATTGCTGAATCTAAATTTTTTCCAAAAGTATCAAGTAATTACAAAGCTGTATATAGCTATATGTAATTAGATGGTAAATACATTTTGTGGGAATTCAGAGGTTAGGGAGATATTTGTGGGCTAGTATGGGACTAAAGCAGATGTGTATTGCCCAGATTATAATAAATGGAGATTATTGCAATGACTGGAATGAATATGACCGAGGCATGGAGTTGATCATGACCCACTGCCTGGCTTATACCACAGTTACCAAAACCATTCCAAAGATTACTGCTAGTTGAGCTAATTTAATTACATAAATTCTAAATCCATTTATTTAAGAACCTCTTAATGTTTTCCCCAGTGAAGAAGTGATTAAACTGTGATAGAAATGTAATTATATGGTGAATTCAAAATGTGTAGTTCTCATTAGTTTAAAGTGACTGATACTAGAACATTTCTATATTCATTGTTGTTTTGTTTTCATTGCTATTTTGTTCTCATTCCACAGTGTTATCTGTATTTTAGGTGTTATATAAATGTATTTAGGAGTGTTTTATTATTGCTTACAGTGAATTTATTTTGAATTCTCATACTGAATTCTTCTTCTGCTGTAGAAATGGAAGGGATTGAAATGTATCAACTAACTTGAATTTGTAAAGTAAATACCAATTCTATGCTTACATTCTGGAGGACACAACAGGGGCTTAATTCACGGCTTGTTAACCTCAGAGTATGTCAGTCAGTGTAAGGCACTCTGCCTGATGTTACAGATGCATTGATCTCAACAAAGCCAAAACCAGTGCCTATCATCATAGGAAATCCATAGCTGTAAATGAGAGTTTTCTGTTAACTATCCTTTGTCTTGACATTGATTCTGGCCTGATAGTTGTATCTGCTTGTGAAATCTTCCTAAAATGAAGCATCCTGCATTACTGTCAGTCTTTTCCTCAGCCCTGACTTCCCACTGGTGTGACTTCTGTTAATACCAATGTTATCCCACCTGCCAAACTTGAAATCTACCTGCTACATCTAGTCTGCCCCTCACATTCCTAAATCTCTCTTTGCTCTCTATTGTAACAATCAATACCATGTTTCTCTGTCTTCATTGGGTATCTCTGTAGGGCAAACTACATGCCATTACTGAGTGTGAGATGGGAGGTTTGATTCTGGCTTTGTCGCTCCCCTGCTAAAATGGCAAGGGCTTCTCCTTACCTCTAAATAAGACCTATTAAGAACATCTCTGCAGAACCTAAAGTAATATGTTCATAACCCTCTTCTCTTAGCTATCTCCTCTCCTTCCCCTTAATGTACTCCTGACAAATGAGCTACTTTTCTACCACGTTTTAATGCCCCAGGACTTGGTTCACGTTCTCCTTTCTTGCTTTGCCCTCTTCCCTGCCAGTGCAGTCAAAACCATAAGTTCTTAGCAGAAATGCCTCCTCACCACATCATTCTCTAGCTAGCCTGAAATGGTTTCTCTTATCTTGAGAATCTTACAGTCCTGTGTCTCTCATGACGTTTCCATTTGTTTGTATCATAGTTATTTATGTGTAAGTTTTATAGTTAGAGCAGATTGTGGCAGGAGTGTTCTGTTTTTTGTCTTTATAACCCTTCACATGAGGCTTCATGCCACACACATGCAGGTGCTTGGGAAATACATGTTAATGACCAAAGTAAGATACCATATGGTATCTGGTTGTATTATTACCAGTGTTCACTTTACAAAGTGTTATGCATCTGCTCTCTGAAATGATGTACCAGAACTTGAACATCTACCTTATGTTTTTAATGCTGGTGACCAGTCATCAACTGCGTGACAGGACAGTGCATTTTGTAACAAGACTCCATTTCCTTTGTTCTTGGACAGGAGAATCAGATGAGAGGGAACAGTCAAAATTGGAAGTTAAAGTTTGGGATCCAAATAGTCCACTTACAGATCAACAGATTGACCAGTTTTTAGTTGTAGCACGGTGAGTATGGCTCTGTTGAGTCAAGAAGTATCTCTTTTTTTAATAAAATAATTTATATGTGTGTGTATTTTCCTTTTTTTGTATTCTCCTTTTTTTCATTGGCCATGTTATTCTTTTTCTTGTTATGTAAAAAGGCCTAATATGTATCACACCACTTTCTAATAATATGGTTTATTATCATTAGTTCCTGTTTAAAAAGTGAAAATAGATTTTTACTGATTAAGAAAATAATGAACAGCCCTTGTAAAAATTTGAGCAATACATAAAAGTATAAAGATGAAATTCAGCATCTGAAATCCTGTATCTTTAGAGTAGTGATCTTCACGTGTCAATAATAATGTACACCTCAATTCCGCTTATGGCATCCATGCATGAGGAAGGCCTTGCTAAGCATGGACTTCCCTCTGAAAGCTCTCTAACTAAGCCCTACTGCCTGGCTGGCTTGCTTCCTCTCCCCGCAGCCCCATCCTCCTTTCTTGAGAAAATGAATGGGAGAGAAATGTGTTTCTGTTGTTTCAACTGTAAAAGTAAATCATGCTCATGTGGGAATTGCTGCAAAGCCGTAAGTAAATGAGATTACCACAACATTGTAATAGTGGAAAAATTGGAAAAAACAGGCTATCAGCAGACAATTGATGAGTGAATTGAGGTATGCTCAATAATGGAATATTACTTTTACAATAATGAATGAGTTAGAGGGGTCAAAGAGATAAATCTCGGTGAAGTTGAGTGAGGATATACATAGGATGATCACTTAAAAAGTTTTACAATATGCAAAATGTCATTTCATAATGGGCATATATATGCTAGCATACATGATTATATGAACCAAACATGGCAAAATATTTGAATTAGGTAGATAGGGACATGACTACAAGAATCTTCATTATATTCTCTAATTTTCTCTTGAACTTTTTTTATAATGCTTTTATGCATATGTGTTATATTTTAACATTAAAAGAATCTCTTCCTCAGCTGACATGTTTAAAATACAGGCAACAGCAGCAAGTCTTAGGTTAGATTTCTCTCATATGGGTAGGCCTTCTAAACCAGTAATTGTGTGTGTGTGTGTGTGTGTGTGTGTGTGTGTGTGTGTGTGTGTGTTTAATGAAAATTTATTCTGTCTTGAGTCCTTATACTTAGAGGTTGCTCCAGTTGATCTCATTTGAAGAAATAAATGTTTTTAGGATTTCACAGTTTGGGCTAAAACAGTGGTCAGAATGTAATTTGCAGTAATAATTAAACTCAGCATCTATTCTACATCTGCTTCTCTCTTTTTTTAAAGTACATTTGAAAACCAAATTGTTTACTCCATGGCATTTCATAATAGATCTTTCTTTCTTTATGCCACACAAGCCACTTTTTCTTAATTATGGCAACCCATATATAGTAAATTGGCTTGTCAATTCTTAAATCTTATAGAAAATACTTTCTGTTTGATATTTGGTGCTCAAACATCCTAATGCTTGTTTGACTTATATAATTTTCATTCACTACCCAGTTGTGTGTTTTTAATATAAAAAAATAAGAATCTCAGTTTTTCCTCTTTGTTTTTGTGGTTAATCAGTGCTGTTGGGACATTTGCTCGAGCCCTCGATTGCAGCAGTTCTGTAAGGCAGCCTAGTTTGCATATGAGTGCAGCTGCAGCTTCTCGAGACATCACCCTGGTAAGATGCTTTTGGAATTTTGGGGTTATAATTCTTCTGCCACTTTAATTTTAAAGCCAGTATAGCAGTGTTGTAGACGGGAGAGCTTTCTGTCTCTTAACTCGGTGGACTGCTAGGCTGATTTGGCTTGGATGATTCGTTTACTGGGATATCTCATCCCTAAGTCACCTCTTGTGTTTGTGAGCTGAGACAAGTGAGAATGACTGTGTATGAAGTAGGTATGAAGTGGTAAAAAAATATTTCAGGGAAAACAATTCAGCATTCTGATCCGTCTGTTTTCACTTTTGTGCTTTCTTCCTGTACTTCATCTATATACTTAAATAGCTATACATCATATATAATGCTTTATAATTTCCTTAAGTGAAAGTGATCACCTGTTGGAACTGCTATAGGAGTTATCCATTTGTCATATCAATATACAGTATCAATATTTAAAGTTTTTGTGTGCTCATTGGAAAGAGGGTCTTTTTTCATATGCTCTTTTATTACATTATGGTTGCTATCTCTCCTAAGACTGTTCCTTTTTTTCCCTTGGTGATCAAATAAAACTTGACATATTCAGTTTAATTATACCCTAATGCCTGCTATGGCAGGGTGTTGGGCTTGGTACCTGCTTCTTTCTCTGTACCTCCCAGCAGAGTAGACCTGCAGAGTTCTGCTGATTATAGTTACATACTGTATTTGAGTGCCACAACTGTTTGAGATAGGTGTGGTAGGATGCTCATTTAACAGATGAGAAAATTGAGATTTGGTGAGGTTATTTGATCAGTATTCATTACATGTAATTAAAGTTTCATTTTTGTTTTCCGATGGAATGATAGGTTTTATTATTTTCTCATTATATTCCAATTTGAAATGGTTTCCACAAAATATTTATTGCCATAATGTAAAAACTCACAGTGGAATGCACACCAAATTGTTTCTTATAATGCTTTTTTTGTATTTTTGTACAATTACAGATGATAATGAAAGCATTAATAGTCCATACCCATTATGGAATCCCTTTCTTTATCCTTTCTCGAAGGCTAGATAGAATGTTTATAGAAGCAAGTTCTGTTCTCCCCATTGGTATATTAACATTTTATAAGTTTAGGGGTTTCAAAAATCAATGTGTATTTTGATTGTTTAGAACTTGTAGAGTACTTAACTGAAGAAGCAAGAGTATAGATGTCACATTTGTAAAAACCTTCAAAGTCCTGTTAACATATATTTATGTGAACCAGTTCTATATGGAATCTAATCACCATCTGTATATTTTTTCGGTTCAAAAGATTTTTTACCAATTCTAAAAATAATGTATGCTTACATGAAAAATTGAAACACAGAGTACAGCAGCAGCCAATAAAAAAGTTTTATTCTCATTATCCAGAGTAGAATAGTCTTGCCATTTTGTAATGTTTCCTTTCAGCTCCTCTTTGTGCATTATAAATAATAATATTAGCAAATTACAGAATAGCACAGAGGATAATGTATTAGAACTCCACATAATGCCACCCAAGACAAATGTTAATATTTTCATTTTTTGAATTAAAAAAAATTTTCAGCCATTACGATGTTGACTCTCTGATATTCTCCCCTCAGTCCTATCCTGTTTCCCATCCTCCATATGTACCTCTGACCCCCATCATCCCTGCCTTCTGTCAGATGACAGCCACCATAACAAATCTGTATTTCTAATCTGTGATTTTATAGTTTTACTATATATTGATGTATCCAAAACAGCATAACCATTGTTTTACATGTGTTTCAGTATACTGTGCAGCATTTTGCCATTTGCCTATTATTGACATCTAGCCATATGGGTGAATATATACCTAGTTCATTCATTTTAACTACTTGGTAGTATTTGCAGTATTCTCTTACAGAATATCACATCACATTATGTATTCTCTTACCTGTGAACACCTGTAGTGCTTTAAAAACATAATTTTTTTTGCTGTTACCCACAATGCCAAGTTGAAAATTCTAGTACATATCCTTTATGAATATATGTGTGTCCTTCCTATTTACTCTTTTTTTAAAATTTTGGTATCATTAATCTACAATTACATGAAGAACATTATGTTTACTAGGCTCTCCCCTTCACCAAGTCACCCCCACAGACCCCATTACAGTCACTGTCCATCAGTGTAGTAATATGCTGTAAATCACTACTTGTCTTCTCTGTGTTGTACAGCCTCCCCGTGCCCCCCCACACACACTATACATGCTAATCGTAATGCTCCCTTTCTTTTTCTCCACCCTTATCCCTCTCTTCCCACCCATTGTTCCCAGTCCCTTTCCCTTTGGTAACTGTTAGTCCATTCTTGGGTTCTGTGATTCTGCTGCTGTTTTGTTCCTTCAGTTTTTCTTTGTTCTTATACTCCACAGATGAGTGAAATCATTTGGTATTTCTCTTTCTCCGCTTGGTTTATTTCACTGAGCATAATACCCTCTAGCTCCATCCATGTTGTTGCCAATGGTAGGATTTGTTTTCTCCTTATGGCTGAATAATATTCCATTGTGTATATGTACCACCTCTTCTTTATCCATTCATCTACTGATGGACATTTAGGTTGCTTCCATTTCTTGGCTACTGTAAATAGTGCTGCAATAAACATAGGGGTGCATCTGTCTTTTTAAACTGGGCTGCTGTATTCTTAGGGTAAATTCCTAGGAGTGAAATTCCTGGGTCAAATGGTATTTCTATTTTGAACTTTTTGAGGAACCTCCATACTGCTTTCCACAATGGTTGAAGTAATTTACATTCCCACCAGCAGTGTAGGAGGGTTCCCCTTTCTCCACATCCTCGCCAACATTTGTTGTTTGTCTTTTGGATGGTGGCGATCCTTACTGGTGTGAGGTGATATCTCATTGTGGTTTTAATTTACATTTCTCTAGACTAAAATTTTTACTAATCTGATGACCTCACTTTATTTCCCTGATAACTTAATGAGGGTAATCATGTTTTCACATGTTTACTGAGTCTTCAGTATTTATGTATTTTTATATATACATATATATTTTATTTATAAATAAATATTTTTTTAAAAATATATTACTGGCTCTTTGTATTTTAAGTTCATATCCTTAGTTCATTCTTCACTTAACATTATTATTATTTTCTAATTGTTCTAAAGTTTTATTCATATGTAAGACTGTAAATATATCTGGAGTATATTTTTAAGAATGAAGCAAGGTAGGGGTCTAATTTTGTTTTTCTCCATATAGAAAATCAATTATCTCAACATGTTTCACTGAATTTTTTTCCTCATGATTTTGTAAACCCCCCCTCTTTTATTTCAAGGTCCCTGATATGCTTATGTCTGTTTCTGGATTTTTATTCTATTCCCTTCTGTTTTGTTGATCTGTTTGCCCAGGCGCAAGCACCAGTTATAAAACATTTTGATAGTTTATAAGACAAGTCCCATGTGAAGTTCCTGTTTAATGCATAGGTGAAGTTATTTAAAAGTTTTATACTTTGCCTGTCTACTGCTCAACCTTCCCCATCCCCTGCCATCACACACAATGTTTTCTTCATAATACATCACAGACACTTTTTCATATCATTATAAGAATCAGGAAAGTTCTTTCCTAATGTTACACAGTCTTCCCTATTATAGATATACTGTTACTTACATAGCTCGTCTCATGGTTTAACACTGTTCTTAAGAGAGAATGCTTCCCATACTGTAACTGGTAATGCTATCAGTGTTACAGGTCCAGCCCATCCCCTCTACTCTGTCTGAGGATTGAGACTGGAATGCCTGTTCTGAGATAGTGTAGAGCTTCTTTGACTTGATCTGCTTGCAGATAGTTCTGATGGGGAAGAGAGGTGTGTGGGCTCTGGGTTCACAGCTGGATCAACTCTCTGCTTCCTACTGCTGGTGACTGGTGGGACAGTGGATGAATTTCTTTTGGAAGAGGGCAGAGTTTTCAACATTTCAGTATTTATAAGGCCATTATAAATTTATAAATGGCCATTACAAAAGCCATTTATAACAACTGTTTTAAAGAGGACCTAACCTATGTCATTTTGTGTTTCTCTTCTGCAGTACTTGCCTGTGATGCTGCTTCTAGGCAGATATGTTCACACCCTCCAGTGTTTCCATCTCTTCTGTTTTGTTTTCTTTAGTATTTAGCAGTTTGGAGGTCACTTTTGTATTCCATCTATTGCAGCTATTATAATACTATAACTTATTTTTTAAAGTAGAAATATACCCAGAAGCTCAGGAAATTGTGCTTTGTCATCTTTGTATAGTTGTTTCAGGACAGGATTTGAACTTGTTCTTGACTACTACTGAGTTACCTCTGTCTGCCAGATACCTCTTCTGTCTCACTCTGGTTAAAATGGCTTGTGTTTAAATGTCATTATTGTTGTCTTGTCTTGGATTTGACAGCACTGAAGACGATCTCTTCTTTTGTCTGCAACATTTAAATGCCTTGGTATCCTGCTCTCATGACTCTAGGTTCAACTTAAGATTCTTTCTGTATGTTCTTGTGTTATGTTCCTTTCAGTGCCATACAACTGACATTTGTAGAAGTTGGCAGAAAGAAATTGATGCCCTTTGTTATTTCACATGCCATGACCTGCTTCTTTAATTCTGTTTGCCCAGTAGTATTGTGCCCTTCTACTTTGATGTCAAATTTGAGATCCAGGAGCATTCATATAAAAATGAGTGGGAGTGGTTAAAAATTGATTATTAAAATGTTGATAATATGAGTTTTGCACATTGTTTTCCAAAAAACATGTGAAAGGCTGATAGTTGTTTTATGCCTTTAAATGAGAATGGGGTCACCATTCAGTTGACTTCGGAGAGTCAAGTTCTTAACTTTTCTTTCAGTGTTTACTGGCCTGTACAGATGAGGTTAGTACCTTTCTCCATTAGGTGACCAGCCATGGATCTGAAGACATGCCAGAGCAGAGAGGGAACCCTGGAGCCTGTCCTAGGTGATTTTCTTTGTGGTGTTTCTTCTGAGAAGTGCAATTGGCTTTCATTCAGCATTCCTAACTTTACACG